GTTACTCTGAGGGGTATCATATTGTACTTTGCTTTGTGGAAAATCCTGTAAGGCTGAATTATGGGTTATTTGCAAAAACGGATTTTGCAGAAACAAATACAGATCTCACTTTTGATCAATGTTTATTGTCAGTATTCTTAATGCATTTGAAATGAAAAGCAGAAATTATGATAGATTGAAGATTGGGTCTTTACACAACACAAGCCTAAATTAAAAGCAATATTTAATCATGAACTGAGTTTTGCCATCAGCTAATGTAAAAAATACAACGAGTTGTTCAATGAAGAAGTGTTTATCAGATTAAATATGAAAAAATAAGTAAACTTTTAACAAGAATTTGAGCAGCCCTAAACTTGCATAAGCATGAATAAGAAGACTGAAGAATGATCAATAGTGGTCAGATAAAAATCTCTCTATTAATACTAAAGTAATGTTACAGATCTTTCATTCTCCTGGATGTGAAGATCAAGTTTAATCAGATAATGTTCTTTGACCATATTGAATAAATCGCATTTACATCTTGACTCAGCAGCTTTAATGCCTGGCAGAGTGTTAGAGCAAGGTCACAACACAGCTGCATTATCACCTGAAGCATTAATAGTACAGTAGCATTGGCTTTTTCATGCTCCCAGTGCATTGTGGGATACTCCAGCTCTTCCCTGACTTTCTAATTTCCTCAGAGCATCTGTGAGTAAATCTCTCTCTCTGTTTCACTAGTCGTCCTCTCCACAAAGGACGAGTCAGACCTGAGTACTGTCCTGCGCTGGGACGTCGATCAGAGCGACAAATCCGCGATCAAAGCCCCAGATACCGCCTGATGCAGAGGACAGCTGCTACCCAGCGGCACCGGGACGTTTTGGTCGAGATGATTCGTCTCCTCTGAGGCAGCAGAGAGGATGTGGAAAAGACTGCACCCTCTCTGCTCCTGCCGGGGAATGCTGCAATGCAGGGGTGTAAGAGAGAAACACAAAGCTGGGAGGCAGTTTGTCCAACAGTCAGCTGCTCACACTCTTCCTCCATTCCCTGCCATGCCTCACTTCTTCCTCTCTTCAAAGCATCATCTTATCATTCTAGCCGTCTGTGCCTCCCTACCTTCCCTCTCTGCACACCCCAAACTAAAGGCACTGGCCCATCATTTCTGCAGCGTAGACAGCAGTAAACAGAAAGGACCATATGGTCATATTTGGCTCTGTACATCAGCTGCAGTGTTTGTGTGTCTGATATACAGCTTGTAAACAAGGTGGCAGTAGCCTGTGTGTGTGTGTGTGTGTGTGTGTGTGTGTGTGTGTGTGTGTGTGTGTGTGTGTGTGTGTGTGTGTGTGTGTGTGTGTGTGTGTGTGTGTGTGTGTGTGTGTGTGTGTGTGTGTGTGTGTGTGTGTGTGTGTGTGTGTGTACACCTGGGAACATTTTTTGTGGAAGTGTCGAGTGGGTGGAAGGCTGTCGAAGAACTCTTGTGTTCTGACAGCCGCTCTTCACTATGAATGATTTCCTGGCATAGCCAAGAATAAGAGAGGGGATCAGCCTTATGTTGCCATGTTTACGTTCTCAACAATGTCAGACCGGTAACAAACAATATGGCTACACAGATGCTTACCATTCAATTCATTTGAAACATCCAGCTCTTTTTCAATTATATCTGAATATATAGTCTTTACTGATAAATGTTAGTTAACATACAGTAAAGAGACAACCAGGGTCTGTGGAATGCAGTTTAAAAGGTAAATATTTTATCAGCCTGGGAAATGATAAAACTGCCAACATATGTAAGGGTGTGTTGAGAAGTATAACATCATTTGGCTACAAACTTTGGGTGATTTCTACATATTCATTCTTTGATGTGTAATGTTAGGAGGATATTGGGCCGAAGACAGGTGTGGTGTCCACGTTATCATGTTATTTAAGCCACAACTGAATATAACTAATAATAAATAAGGCAATTACTATGGCTGCTGATCTGGACTATAGCAAAAGCTCAAAAATGTTGTAGGTGTGTAAAGGAGGATTTCGGAGGATGTAAGTAGGATACCTTGTTCAAAAAAAGTATCCTTTTTTTATTCAAGACAATTATCCGGACTGTCAAAAATATACATTTACATTCAAAGCCCTATTTGTTTGGACGTTCCTATGCATCTGTTAGATATTTAACATAGAAAATATGACAGAAATGATTGAGAATACAGATATATAGTCAAACTGATCACCCTGATGTATGTTGAATAACGTCGGTGAACATTTTACTCATAATTACATTACTTTGTCAAAGGCAGGAATAAAAACCTCTTTTGTAAAAACATTTTTGCTTGTTATAACAACAACCATTCATATGAAATAATCTCGGGGAAAATGTTTGTCATTCTTATATTTCTTGGTAAAGGGCCGTCCTGAAATTGGAATTAACCTTTTTTAACAGGAAAGGTCCAGATGTAACTCGTAACATTAGTGATGCCTCTGCTCTATTTTAAGGCCCTCTGCATTCACACAGGTGAAACTCATTCTGACGTGGGACACTCTGCCTGGGTTGGAGTTGGGAGGTGCTCCATAATTCAGGAAAGTGATGAAAGTTGTATATGCATGCACAAACAGGTGTAACAAAACTGACAAGAGATTTAAAAATCTAATTCATTTGTGCCCACAACTGAAATGTTGAATGTCCTATATTTGAAGTGTTCACTGGGTTGGCCTTCCAACATCTGATTTTCAAGATTAGTCAATTGAGGTGAAGGAGTGAGTTTTTCTTATTATATCATTATTAGTATGGGCACATAGGACAACTTGTGTTCCTATTTCATTTTATTTTAGGAACGAAAACAGCAGTCCTATTCCAACCAAATACTACATATATATATATATAACAGAAAAAACAACAAAACATGCAACAACAAGCAACTAAACAAGACATAACGGGGGGGATGCAAGGATGACTTCCTAAAACAGCAAATTGTTACATACACAAGACATTACACAGGAGATGCCATATTGACAGGGTCAGATAGGAGTGTTGCGGACCGTGAACCTTAATCCTCCTGTCTCGATCAAAATCCCCCAGCAGAGAAGCTGCACGCTCCATATTCAGCAGGTCCAGATACTCCCTCAGCCATGAGTCCTTAGTGAAGCAGGCTGGTTTTCGTTTCCTACCAGTTTAGTAGGACGAGTCTTTTTGTGGCTAAACAGCCCAATGTCCAGAGCCGATCGGCAGTCCTTGCAACATTGCCATCTAGCTTGAGACCCAGTAGGCATGCAATGGGACATGTAGGGAAATTAACTTTTAAAGATTCAGACATTAAGGATATTACTTCTGACCAATGTTTTTCTACCGCTGGGCATTCCCAGAGTAGGTGCAACAATGTACCTCGCTTGCCACATTCATGCCAGCATACGTCTGTGTTTATTGTCCATCTTGGATTTTGTGACAGGGGTGATGTATGCTCTATTGAGAATGTTGAACTGTATGATCCTGAATCTTACACATTTAGAAGAGAACATAGCTGACCTCCAAATGGAGTTCCATTGCAAAGCAGACAGAGAGATATTCAAGTCATGCTCCCAGGACAGTTGGACAGGAGAATAGGTATTCGGGGCAGCCCTAGATAATAATTTATAAATATTAGAGACCACACCTGATGATATGATTGCTTTCTTGAGGCGCTGGTCCTCTTCCATACATGAAGCAGGCATGGCTCCCTCCTTACATTTTGTACTAATAATAGATGCTAGTTGTGCATATGATAGAAAAGATGAGTCTGAGAGACCATACTGATTTTTGAGTTGGTGAAATGGAAGGGTTTGGTCTCTGTATATCTGTCCAATTGTATAATACCAGCCTTCTGCCAGATATTATTACTTAAGGTGCCTCCTCCTGCAGAAAGGCAGGGGTTACTCCAAATAGGGCAAGATGGTAAAGAGAGCCCCTCTATGTTGAGTCTCCTGTGAAGTTGCTTTACAATAGAGCATGAAAAGCGGATGATGGTATTATCGAGGGTGGTGGTTTTGGGCAGGACCACATTGATGCCAGAGATATGTTTTGGTTTACAGACATGATGGATTGCTCCAGCCATTGCCAACTGCCTACCGGAGAGGCACTTTTGTACGCCCACGATAATGGATACTTTGCATTGAAGGACAGATAATACTGGAATACATCTGGGACTCCCAAACCTCCCATTGATCTTGGAATGATCAATTTATTATGTGCGATTCATGGATTTTTATTATTCCAAAGGAACTGAGTGAAAAGGGATTTTATATCTTTAAACCACTTTACTGGGAATACAAGAGGGACAGAAGAGATAATATGAGAAAGCCTTGGGAGAACATTCATTTTCAAGGTTTCTGCTCTGCCCCATAGAGAAAGTGGTATGGCCATCCATCTAATGTCCTCCTTAATGGACTGGAAAATAGCAGGGCCGTTAAGGCTAAAGATTTTAGAGATAGGAGAGACGATGTTAATTCCCAAATACCTCATTCCATTTGTTTTCCAAATAAAGGGGGTGTTCATTAGGTTGTGCTTATATGTATATGAGTTAAGTGGGATTGCTTCACTCAACACGGGTCATTTAAAGAAATGATCAAATCTTATCATTAATTTTAGCCAATGAGGCTCAATATGTCGTAGTGCTGCTTAATATGTTTTTACTTTAAAAAAGGATTGCCTCAAAACTGTCCTGTAGCAAACATTTTTAAAAGAAAACATTTTCGAGTCACTTGGATAGGTCATTTTGACACAGGGAAGTGTTGTAAATCAAATGTAATCAGTACAACAAGGGGGGAATGTGCTGCAGTTAAAGTAGTAGTACTGATTTGATATCTGGGACTCACTGTCTCGTACAAGAGATCATCTGTTACCTTAAAGTAGTCCCACAATTGTTTTTAGGAGAAGAAATTATGTCAACCTACTCCAAAGATCCACAAGGCTGATTCAATTAAGTTGAAGAAAGCTTAAATGACAGGAAAGAGACCCTTTCATAAAAAATTAAAATAAACAATCTAATACTTATACTCACAATGTCCGCCAGGCCAAGCTCTATGAGTATATAAGCGTGGTCAGGATCCGAGATCATTGTCTCCACTTCAGTAGAGGTAAGAGCAGTCCCGTTGGAGTAGACAAAATATGCCACTACGATCGTGTTACCTGAAGCCCTGCGAGGAAAATACAACTCACTTACACCCTTAAAACAACAACAACAACAACAACAATACAACCGTTGTAGTCTTCAAATCTAAATTATCTTTGGCTGGATTTATCACCTACAATTACCAGTAAATAATGTATCCTGAACAATATACAGGGACACTTGCACCATCTAGTGGACAAGTAGACTTCCTGTCTAAACCAGCCATCATTTATTGTATCCGTTTTCACACTCATCATTTGTTTAGATTCATCTACATGTTAGGGGTGGTGAGAAAAGATAGCTTGCCTGGAGGATTCCGGAAATTCAGACCCGATTCCAGCGATTTCAACCGCAGCCTTGGTGGCAGAAATAAGTGCCCTGGAAACGTACAAAACAGAAAAGGAAAAAAGGACCAGATCAAAATCATTTTGAAATAATAGATATATTCTTGAATGTGCTTTTATTAAATTCTAATTTAACTAAAAGAAAGGCTACAATGGAGAAATGTACCTGATGATTTCATTGAGGTTTTCTTCAACCATGGCTTGGGATTGTGTAAATTTAAGATTCACTCTATAGGATTCATCAACTGCGAAGATCTGCAAAATAAAGAGAACAGGAAACACAGGATGACTATCTGTCTGGTGTATTTATTTAGGAAAATCCAGCTGCATGATTTGAGTCACTCACCTCCAGTACGGTGCTGGTGGACAGTTCGCCGCTGTCAGTTGCACTCACGCTGACCAAATACCTCCCTTTCAGTGATGTATCAAGCCCCTCGGTGGTTCTGTGGAAAGAGAAGGAAATCAAGAGTACAGCCATGGACAGATGAAGACCAGGGGTATTTTAATCTCTTTTAGTGTTTCTACTTGTAATTTGTGTCTCTTTATAGTTGTCTTTATTGTGATTTTTGGAGGCAGTTTTGTCCCAGTTGTAGTTGTTTTGTTGACTATTTTATTAATAATAATAATATATTTTATTTGGGGGGCGCCTTTCATAGCACCCAAGGACACCTTACAGGGCATAGGGTAATATAAGGAAAATTAAAACAGTGGATTTAATGAAATGTCAGCCGGGGTAAAACAAGACAAACAACAGGAAATGGACTACAACATTTACATTTTAAATAATTTTCTGTTTTGACTCGGTGTCACATTTGCTTTGTGTTTTGTAGTTGTTTTTTGTCTCATTGAGGTTGCTTTCCGCATCTTTGTAGTTGTTTTGAGAGTATTTGTAATATTTCGAGTGTCTTTGTGTTCGTTTTGAGTGTCTTTATAATAATATGAGTGTCTTTGTTTGGAGTTTTCTCTTAGTTTTTTAAGTGTCTTATTTGTTTTGCATCTTTGAATTTATTTTCCAATGTTAAAATTAATTATCAGTTCCAAGAGAGCCAGCAGTCAAATTTCAAAGTTACTGAGAAATCCAAACAAACGTTTAGAGCAGAATAAAATAAGGCAGTATTACGTTGAAAAATGACTTTGTACTTACTGAATAATCCCAACGTAAATGTCCTTTTGCTGCGTAGTGACGGCCTCGTACAGCATCCTCATATCACTTGTCTTATTGTTGTTGTCTTCAAATTTGACTCCTGTAACTTCAAATTCAATCTGCCTATTTATTAGAGAGTCCCGATCTGTAGCCTGGGAGCAGCAAGAGATGAAAGCAGGAATGTTCAGAGATCACGTCACATATCTCCTTTACAAGCTGAAATCGTGTACATTTTTCAGTTTTTCATTCATACTCACACTGACTCCCGCTACAGATGTCCCTTTACTTGCACTTTCTGACACCACAACTAAAATCCAGAGAAGGAAAATCAGTGATGAACAATTAAATGCTAACAATACACACAATTCAGCTGAATATTGTATTTGTTTAAAAGAAAAACTAAAGTTTATTTGTTTAAATGAGTTGGTTCAGTGACTTTAGGACATCACCAGGTTCAGTTAAAGGGGGCACAATCCAAGTCAAATCTACTCTAGATAACATTTACTTACAGTCATACATCAAAAATATATACTCACCAAAAACCGAATTTGACAAAATGAATTCTGGAGCATTGTCGTTGATGTCTTCAATTTCGATAACCATTTCTCCTGTTTGATTGAATGACAATTAAGTTAATTGTATTTCATGCTTTAACGTGATGCTTTAATGCTTTTGTGATCTGTACAACAAACTGACCTGTTGTGACACTGTTATTCTCTCCTTTCTCTGTGTACTCGTCCACCACCTGAGCTTCAATCACCGCCAGGTCACACTGTTCATAATCTATTGTGTGCTCCGGGTTGACTCTGACTTCGCCTGTTGGATCGAGGATAAACCAGCTGCAGTCAGTCATAGAGCCGTTGCATCTGCATTTGATGGATTCCAGCTCGTAGACCAGTGAGTGGTGCCCATCTTTGTCCTGCGCTGTAAAGCTCCCGACTGCCCCGCTGATGGTGGTGTTCTCCTTCACCTTCACAGGTTCTGACGGCTTGAACTCGGGCCTCTCATCGTTCACGTCCAACACATCCACCTCCACCATCACTGTGGCTTTCACCTGTTCTAGATCTGCTGCCTCTACCTGCAGTTTGTACCGCTTGTGAGTGCTCTCATAGTCAAGTTCAAGGTCGAAGTCTACGGTGATGTTTCCCCTGTATCCCCGCTCATCTGCAAAGGTGCGAATGATGAAGCTGCCGAAACCTCCATTAATGATGCTGTAAGAGATGCGGTTGAACTCTGTGGTTTGATCCAAGTCCTCAGCTTGAACAGAGCCCACAAAGGCACCTGATTGGATAGGAAAATGTACATAAAATCCAGCCAAACATTTATAAACACTTGTGCTTAGCAAAGTTAATACTGACCTTTTTCTCCTTCTTTGACTGAGAATTTGTAAGAGAGGGCTTTAAACTTTGGTCCGTTGTCATTAACATCCTGGGTTGATCAGAAGAAAAAATTGACAGTTATTTTCCTCACCAGGGGTGGCAGCATCAGAAACAACACAGCACCAATACTTTGCTGCGAAAGACTTGCCTCCACATTGATGATGACTGGGACCATGGTGGACAATGGGGGGTCACCCTTGTCAGTTGCGGTTACGTTAAGCTCGATCCTCCCGTCCAGGTCCGGATCCAGGGCCTCTCGGTCGAGATTACCCCTGTTAGCCAGCACACCGGTTTCAGGATTGATGGTGAAGTTATCACTGTACCTGCTGGGTTCGATTCCAAACACTAATTGGCTGTTTTGTGTACCAGATTCATCTGCATCAGTTGCCTGTCCAAATGAGAACCATTATATGAAATGCTTTACTTACGTACACTACGTTGCCATAACAATATAAACATCCAAACAAGACAAGAGGATGTCCATATGTGACTGCTGCACATCTTAGGCAGAAATGAGTGAGGCCGGGCCCCAATGTAGGGTCATAGGGCCTAGCTAGTTTTTGTTCCTTTCAATGTGTTAGAAAGGGTTGAAGCTCTATGAGGCGGATTGATTCTTCCACACGACTCAAGAATGGCAAAATATCTTCTTTACAGGTGTTAAGCAGAACTATTCCATATAGGGGTGGGAATCACCAAGCTCCCCACGATACGATACTATCGCAATACTTAAGCCACGATACGATAGTATTGCGATACGATAGTATTGCAATACTATATATTGCGATATCGCAAATCACATGGGTCATATCCATGTCCGTCTTCCCTTCCTGGTTAAAACATGTATTTGCAATATGAATAGCTTATGTAAATAACACAATTTGTGTTATTTGAACCTGAAAAGGAGATGGCATTGTTTTTGTTACTTTCATTGCAATTGTATACATGTCTTACATAACTTCCTGTTTTATATACGACCATCTTTCGGAGGGATATGCTACAGTTTATATAAAAAATTAAAAAATTAAAAAAGTTGATACTTGGCATCCGTGTATCGATACAATATCGCCACGCAAGGTATCGCAAGGTATCGCAAGGTATCGTAAGGTATTATGCTGTATCGATTATTTCCCCCACCCCTAATTCCATATGTGAAAAAAGCTTGTGTGCGGCTCCAGCGGATGCTACACAAAACTTGGTAAATATCCTCAGAAATGTCAAGTGAGTCAGCATCTGTTGGGACTGAAGACTACAAGTTTATAAATAGTACACATCTGGGGGTGTGAAGTTATAAAAGAGGGGATCTTTTCAGAACTCTGTAGCCCACCCCTTAAAACTCTCTCAAAGATAAAGGCTGAAGGCTAGATTAGCCACTAAGAACATAACACATAACATAATCTATAACCACACTGGTGGCGGGTGAGTTGCATTGTGGGTAATGTAGACCCCATGAAGAACGCTTGGAATTAAGAAGACAATGTGTCTCTGGTTTGGTTTCACTGATTTATTTATTTATTTTTATTTTTTTAAACTGTCCCTCGTTGTACTCACAACATGTAATTTAAAGTTCTACATCGACTGAATGTTTTTTTAAGATCTTTATTTGGTTTCTTAACTCAAAAATAGTTAGCGCGAACTGTACTAAACATGTTTCCACATCTATCAACCTTAAAATATGAAACTGTGTCCTCACTTTTGGCTTTTAAATTGCTTGTTGCAACTGTTAATATTTACCCTCCTGAATTGAACATTCACAATAAAGTATTTTCAATTTCCCCATCAACACAAAATCTGTTGGATTTAGCTCTAAAACTATTCATAAATAAATCAGAATTCCGGTTAATCATAGCATGGCTACATAGATAGTAGTATTTACTACTCCCATATATATATATCCCCCACTGTTACCTGTATCTTAAGTTCAAACTTTTGCCCCTCTTTAACAAACTCCTGGTAGGAGTCTCTGTTCATGACTGGGGGGTGGTCGTTGATGTCAGTCAGAGTGATTTCCAGCACTGTGCTGCCAGGCTTGCCGTCTGTGTCTCTGGCCTGCAGAGTGGCTGAATACAGAGATCTGACCTCGCGATCCAACAGAGTCGCGTTTTTCACGGAAACTGCGCCCGTATTTGGATCCACGTCAAAATACAGCAGTCTGAAACACAGTGTGTGCAGTGGTGTTTTCTCAGTTAACATGACAACAAAAGCTGCCTAGTGTAAAATAAATGTGTTTTGGCATACATGCTTTCTGGAAGAAGTTTGTAGGTGATGTTGCCTTGATCCATTGTGTCAGGATCATCTGCCTAGGGTAGAAAAAACCGAACAATGTGTCTTATCCAAGTGTTTTCCACATGCAAGACAGTCTGAGTAAGAATTCAAATTGTAAAGGGCTTACAGTAATGATGTCCAACACTGTCCCAGCAGGAGAGTGCTCAGCCACCTCCAACTTGTACGTGTCGTTTGGGAACTCGGGGCTGTTGTCATTGGCGTCCTTGATGTTAATAGTAACTGTAGCCGTGGAACGGAAGGAGGTGTCTTCTTCATCGATGGCAATGACCTGCACCACAACACAAGCATGGGAAACAGCTTAGACTGATTAACTGCTTCAATAATCACAAATACGATATGAACCAAAAGATGACAGATATATATTATTATATTAGAGACTTTTCAATTGTCCTTACACTTAGAACAATTCTCTGTATTTTTTCATAATCCAGGTTTTGGGGCTGCTTGACCAGAAGCTGAACGATGCTGTCCGATGCGGTAGACTGAGGCTCCACTAAAAACACGTCACTGTTGACTCCCTCCAGGGTTAGTTTAGTTTTTTTTATCTGCAAAAAAAGCCAAAAAGATGATTTGCGCATGATCATTTTTTCCTCTATTGAAAAGGAAAACTTGATTTTTTTGGGTTAAAGAAAGTCCCCTGTTTTTGGTAACTCTTCTGCTCACCTTATCCAGATCTTTTACTGTCATGTTGATGAAAACAGCACCCAACGAGTGCTCAACGACATCTCCTGTAAAGTCACTCGCAATGACGCAAGAGCGCTCGTCTGCTGTGTCTCCACACTTGTAAAACTTTGGCGGGTTATCATTTTTGTCGATTATGTTGATCTGTACATCTGTTGTGGTGCTGGCTCGGACTCCGTGGATGTTTTCTTTAGACTCAGTAGCCTAAAACATTACAAAATACAATATAACAATGTAGGGAGGCAGTATTTATTTTTGATAATCACGTCATTTCAGAAAGAGGGTGTTTATATTGGCGGTTCTACTAATGAAGATCTGCATGCACGTCCCTTTGAGAACGATAGAGGCCTGTGGGAAAAGTTGCTTTTCCAACATTGTAATAAAAACTAGCTACATTGAAATGCAACCCAATAAAGGAAGACAAACCTATCAAAAAGTGAGCCTGAAAATATCTGCCACTGGGAATCACTTCAGAGATTGAGAGAAAATGTTGCCAATAGTTTAGCCTTCTGCTAACAGTAGAAATTAGCTAGTCATCGCCAGTTAAGGAGCTGGCTAATCCAAAGTAGCATTAGGTCTCTATCCCTTAAACCCTTCAGAAATGCATGACTAGAGCTACCTCTGTTTAGAATATATTCTCTATTTTAGTCGCACTTGATTTTTTGTTTTGCTTTTTTTTACAAATGGGAGCAGCCCAGATGGTTAAAGTCCAGGAATGACCTCATCGTAGCCCATAATCTGTTATCTAACAAAATATGAACAATACCTTGTTAGCATGTTACTACCTCTTGTTTGTTGTATCCTTTCACAAATACAAATGTTTATAGTTTAACGTAGAGGGTTGAACGAGTAGGCTACAGTGGGTACAGGTGTCTTGCATAGCTTCATATTACGTATGCACCCAAGAGCGGTATGAATATTTTCAACTCACTCTCTGCAAACTGTTGAAGTGTTTACATTATTATTATTTAGAGTAATTACTCAAACTACAGGGACGGAAATAAACATATACAAGACATAGACAAAGTTAACGTCCATACAGAGGAGGAAATTGATGTATGACTTTAAACATATTTACCTTTACAGTCAGGGTAACAGTGTCACCAATCTCTTCTCTGTCAATACCCGACGACACAGATATGATGCCATCAATTAGTGAGATTTTGAACAGGCCCACTGCTGCTGTGGAATCTGTCAAACAATGTAGAAAAGAAAATGTCTTTCTCATTCACTTAGTGAAAACAAACACATTATAACCAAGTTGACAAGGCTCACCTTCAATGCTGTAGAGCAAATTATCATTTACTCCTGTGTCCTGGTCCATGGCCGTTACTCTAAACACAGTTGTGTCCTGGCAAAGAAAAAAAAAAGAAAACATTTACACAAAACTCAAAGTAGGCTTTAGATGTTTACAGCAAATCACAATGTGCAGTACATTTGGGGCCATTAAAACATATATGCATACAGCCTGCACAGAGACAAGGAAAACATCCTAATTTACAACAGAATAAGAAGTTTAAGTCAGACAAATAATTGGAAAATGTGTAATAACTGAATGACTGTATGTACTCAAATGACATTGAGCAAGTTATTCTTATTTTACTGAAATGCATCAGCACTCACCGAGAGAGCGTTTTCTTCCACTTTCCCCACGTAGGGCAGACCAATGAACTGTGGGTCCAGGTCTGGGACGTCCACAACCGTGACGAAGGAAAAAACAACGCTTGAGAAGTAGTTTTTAATTGGCTTATAATGACAGGCACCTCCACCATCCTGTTACAGAGCACACAGGAGTTTAAATTAAAAAAAGAAATTCCAACTTGTTTCCTTTTTGTTATAGCACAATACAAATTATAGAATAGTAAAGTGGTATAACCAGTAAGAATGAATGAAATAATGAAATTGGGTGTTCAAGAACCATTTTCTCTACTGCATTAATATAGATTATATTTTGGGAAATAACAAATTACATTTCAAGTCTAGTGAAGAATATTGGCACCCCACTCAACGCAAGAAAGCAAATGAAATACATTCGTTAAAATTACACACTATTTATTGGGCGGTACTTACAGTTGCGTTAATCCTCAACCGATAGAAAGTACTCAGAGCAGTGTAATTCAGATTTCCCTTTAATCTGACTTCGCCAGTTGTGGCTACAATGCTGAAAAGACTGAATCCAGCAATTGGAGTAACCTAGAAAAAACAGTGGAAATTAAGCTTTGATAAAGTAAAGGAACATCACAGTATGCTATTCATCTTTTGGAAAATAAGCTTACTTCATCAATGCTGTAAGTAATAACCCCAGCGCTTGAGGTGTCTGCATCAGTGGCCTCCGCCTTGAACAAAGATGCACCTATGGCGGTATTCTGATGAATTGGACAGGAATAAAAAGACAGGCAAAAAAGACAAATTAAACTAACTGATGTCTCTCATGTAGGACATTTATGTAATTTAAAAAATAAGAGGATCATTTGTAATATATAAATATATGCTTAACTTACTTCGTTGACATCAATGTCATATGAAGGCTCCTGGAATATTGGTTTGTTGTCGTTGGCCTCCTCTATTATTAGAGTTAAATCTTTCTGTGTCTGAAATACATTGCATGGTGTACTCTTAAAGTATGATGAACACACTTAAATTAAATGGTTGATTAAAACTTAATGAAATGTCACTTACTCCAGTTTGACCATCATAGACATAAACTCCAAGCGTCATATAATTAGAAGCCTTGAATAAAAACAATTAAACACAGATAAATACAAATATATACCATTTCAAAATGCTAAACATTAAAGTGTCTCTTCTTCCACCACACCTCTCTATCTAGGTTCCTTTGTATGGATACAACCCCAGTGGTTCTGTCAACTGTGAAGTAGGCAGCATTGGGCCCATTGATTTCATAAGTCAGTGTGTCACCTTCCAGGTCTGTGGCTAATATAGTGAACGCGCGATGATCTATGAAAAGAAGAAAACATCAGTGGAACATAGATTAATGTGTTCAGGCTAAGTCATTTAAAAATATATATATATTACACACACACACACACACACACACACACACACACACACACACACACACACACACACACACACACACACACACACACACACACACACACACACACACACACACACACACACACACATACCTATGGGGATGTCTTCACATATTGAAAAGACTCCAAGTTCAATTGAAGGACTGGTATTTGCTGTAGAGAAGACAGTATAAGCAGAATGTTAAGTAGTGATAATTATAACGTAATGACAAAATTAACTGAATACTCACCATCTATTAAGCCGATAAAGCACATCAGTAATACACTTCCAGTAATGCCCTCCATGTCTGCAAATGAAAAGAAAGAACAACCAAATAAGTAGGGCGCTTTTCTTTAACAATTATTTAATAATGAAATTAGTCAATCGACAGAAAATGAGTTGGCAACTAGTTTGATAAATGATTAATAATCAAGTTACAAGAAGTGTCTGCTGTTATGCTAGTGGTCCTGCGGGGTTGTCCTTATATATTTAGCGCTTCGAGCTAAATCCAATATTGTTGGCATGCTGACATGTTATTATTCAGATTGCATAATGTTAAGCATGTTTACCATTATAATTTAATGTGTTAATAGGACAATGCTTATTAGGACTACCATTGCCAAGAATGATGGGAATGCCATACATTATTATGTATGTTATTTGACAAAGAAGAAAAATCGACCCCAAACATAAAAGACACGCAAATCAGGTTTCTAATTTGTTGGAGCACACCAAAGGAGCACACCGATGTATGTAGGCTTCATTCTCTGACAACCAATAATGTCTGAGCCGAGTTTCAAGGCAGAATCTGGATTATTATTAAAAAGGTTTCACATTCAAAGAATTTGCTTTGGTGTGTGAAACAATGAACATAAATATGTAATAGAAAACATTACAATAACAAAAGTATAATATTCAAACATATGTGGAGTAACTGTCTAACATGCAACAGCAGTTTCAGTGTAAAATAGTATTTAGTAATAAATAGTTTTTACATTGATTAGATAAATAAGAGAAGACATTTCAGGCTGGACCAAAGTGGAGCCATCGGAAAAATAAAGATTAACTTCTCAAATTAGGGGCTTTGTTGCTTTTCTTTGATTAGTATCAGTGTTCATTCAGTTACACAATATTTTAATAAAAACAATAAAAACTAATCGTCCATCTTACTTATCTAGACAATTTATGGTAAAATATGTGCCCTTTGATAACTAAACACTGTCTTTCTTTTGTTAAAACACCAAAATTCTTTAATTTATTTAACATAAATGATGAAACCAGATATATATGTTTTGCAGCTGGACAAAAGGCAGAATAGGTTCCTGCCTTGTGTTGAAATCGATCAGCATTTAGTATCTGGTCACACTCAATAAAAATTATAACTGAGCGAAGTGTCGTAACATGTTAGAACGTTTCTTTACAGAAAGAGCAGCGTCAACTTTCTTCCCTTTTTAATTATTGATCTAGTTAGGGTAAGATCTGCTTTTTGGGAAATTATCAAAATGTGGGCACATCATGTTTTCGACTGTTAGCAAGAAGAATTACAGTAGAATATGAATCATTTGAATAAAGCATGAGCAACAAGGAAGCAGAAGCCCGTCACTACATTGAGTTGAAGCTAGAGCAACCAATGACAAGTAGGCCATTTTACAGAATGCCCCTCGGTCTGATTTTACATTAGTGATTCAGTTGGAACATTTAAAGTTAACCTATATTTAAGGCATTATCTAATTTCAGGATTTAAGGAAGCCTTAGTTTATGTTAATGAGTATTTGTGTGATTGATAAAGGCTACCTTAGGCAAAATACTCACTCTAAAGTATGAGTATTTTGCTTCTAGTTTAACTACTTCATGTAAAGACAGAAAATAGTATTTAATGATTAATCTGAATTTTTGGTAGGTTTTGAATGTTATGATCAATTAAATATTCAGAGTATAAATGAGATTAAATTGATTTTAATGTTGAAATTTCACGTTGACCATTTGTCCATTCTTCTGAGAATTGTGTCATGTGAATATGTATCTTTCAAAGACGATAAAAGGCTAATTGGTGCCCCACTTTTACAGGATGATACGATACCTACGGACAACACAGATGTCCTTTCATGAGTACACATTTATTTGAACAACAGTCAACATAATATCCTAACTAAAACATAACCCTAACATCTAACAAAATAATTTAAAAAGCAGCAGACAGACTCACCGGATGGCGTTCCCAGAGGAGCTTCTCCTTCACTGACGTCTATGAGACCTTTGGCTCTCGTTCCTCCTAGTGATTATCGCCTTGTAGTTGTAAACATAAATGATTAACAAGAACAAGGAGTGCACAGCCGATAACACAGCCCTAAACCTCCCATCCCTCTATGTTTGTCAAAACTCAGAAACGTTGTACAGAAGTGAATGAGATGAAAATATCCACCTGTTGTTCTCACACATGGATATATTATGACTATAAGCCTGGGTATTACTGAGAGATGGGACCCTCATTGGCTGGCCCGGCATGGCATGGCATGGCATGGCATGGTGCCACACTGGGTCAACGGTGTCCATACCAGCACCCAGGGGCTCCTTTGTTTGATTCTGTTGACATGGCAACAACGTGTCTCATCAGAACCAATCAGTGGGCCGGTGCCTTTTGAGAAAGTACAGACCCATGTTCCTCCCTAATGAGCTCTTCCCATTAAACTCCCCCTCTTAGCCTGTGGCATTACACAAAAGACTATCTTCTGTTCTACCCAATGGATTCATTCGTGATTAGAAAGAAACAGAAGCAGCGACACACATTTCTAATGTGACAGGAAAAAAAAAATTCAGTGTTTTTATTCATATTGGTATTAAATGTGATTGATTACATTATCAAATACAAAAAGCAATCTATTAACAGCCCTTTTGAACAAATGTGTAATTAGATTATAACTATTATGTGTTTTAGTTGATTCATTACATCTGTACAATATGTTCATTTTAAAACCTTTTTCCCTTGAAAACCACATGTTGTGGAATACAGCTGTACGATGTGCAACTAATGTTTTTGTTTGTGTAACTTGACTTAATTAACTGCAAATGCTGAAGAATATGTTCAATGTTTGATTTTGAATAAAAACTTTTTTAATAGGATTTAGGTTATATCACATTTCCGTTTGTATTTACATTTGTCAATATTAATTATCTGATCCAACCCTTTAGGGAGCACACTTGGAAAGCCTAAAATTGTTTAATGATAATAATTGATATTGCTATTTATTTAGTTGAACAAGGTTCTTAGCATTTTTTTTTACTCAATTTCGATGCTTCAAAAGTGATAAACAAAAGATGAAAAATATAGCCGAAAAATACTTGCTACTTGTAAGATATTCCACCTTATACAAACTGCACTGAAGAGAGAGAATTGCACATATGTAAATTTCTTTAAGAACGGCAGCATGCTAATATAAGCACAAGGCTTACTGTGCTCACAATTTTCACAATCCTGGTTTAACGTGTTGACAAAGTACAGCTGAGGCATATGGGAAGTCGTATTATTCGGTAGTTGGTCATAAACCAAAGTATTTAACCAAATTAAAATGTGACCTGACTGCTGACAGCAAGAGGAAATGCCAAGGGTTCATTAAAAGTTATTAGCATTCATCGCGAGGTTGACATGAATGCAGGCACTAATGATGCTAGCAGGGCTAAAAACTGGATTATGATGCTAATTCGTTCAATCTACAATTAAAAAAATTATTATTGGAAAATGTTCTCTGATGTACTTCCACATGCTGTTTTTAAATGGATTTTAAAGTAGATTGTGTCTACCGTAAATTTCGGTGCTCTTCGTTGTCATTTATGTTTTGTTGTTTCTTTCCAAATAGCCCTTTTTAATTATCTTTCTTATTCTGCTAAGGAGAACCCTTTGTTTAAACCAGTTAAAAAGTTTCAAAATTATTGTTAATAGGATTTTTTAGAACCTAAGGGGTTTAAAGGCCCTGACACACCAAACTGACACCAAATAACACGTCCCGACCATGGATGTATAATAAGAACTGGATACAGCGTGGGAGGCGGGGCCTCGTTCATTCCTATGAGAGTTGCTCATTGGTGCATGAAGACAAAATGGCCCAACTTTTGAGAGTGAAACGTCACGAAAGTATTCATATAATCATATAATCCATTCTTATTGTGCATCCATGGGTAAAGGTAAAACTCATGTAGTACTGAACACGTCACATGAACGTAGCGGGCGGCGTGGTCCCGTGGGTTAGATCCGCGTTCATAATGTCGAGGAAAATAACTCTCAGAATAACGTTATTAGCACATTTTAAAACTTGAGGACCGAGTGTTTTTAATAAGGACTATACAAATGTTCATACTGGGTAGTTTATTTAGTTTAAAATGTTTATCCAATAATTTACAGACGTCTCTTTCCCAATGTTAGTCAATGAGAAAAAGTCTTTCCGGGCCCAGCGACTGATACGGAAGTGTAGTACCGCCGTTTGGCCACAACAAATGTTTTCCTCAGAGTCCGGTGCACTCCCTGGGGGCTTGGTCCCGACGGACCTGATTGTTGTGTCGCCTCATGTCTGCTGAGTCTTAGCCAAAAAGTCACACTGGAACACACCGCAAAGACTTCAGCCGACGGCCAAGTAGCAAGTACGCACTGCGCATGCGTGAATGGCAATAGCTCTCCTGACCAGCAGGCGGCGGTAGTGTGTACTCGTCATTCAAAAGAGGCAACAACCGGAAGACAGGCTGCATGAGATACAAACAACAAATAGCGTGCGTTCCATTTTCACTCTCGTCCATCACAGACTGTTTCACATAGCGACTTATAATCGAAAACATGTTTAGCGCGGTACTGGAAAATGAAAAATAAAAGCCGTCTGTGTGTGCCTTCTTCACTTCCATTTCGCTTCTCATGCACTGATTCGCTAAGCTGAACAGACAATCAGAGTGATTTCTTTTGCCCACAGCCTTTTGCC